TTTTATCTCAATTTACAGTCAGAATTTCAAACACTTGTGATTGGATACTTGATATCAAAGTTTTACTTTCTACACAACGTATTAAACGTGTCGCAACCTTCCAAGACCGACTTGTCCCTTTGTCAAGCTATGACAGCACCAATATCAGTTCTGTATTTCAGACATGCATTTGTAACGAACCCCTGTGTGCAGGGTTAACATTTTGCCAGTTACCAAATACTTGTGGGATTTCGTTATGGCTACGGCTTCCTAACTATAAATATGACGATTTTCTGCTACGATACAAACAATTTTGGCTCAAACCTAAAAAGATTACAGTTCAATTGCTGTCATAACCAAAACTTACCGCACTGTCGACTGCATTCCAAAATCTACTGCCACAATCGGGTATGTTTCCGGTTTAAGGGAGCGAGCATTATTTTCCGCGAATTTCGTTGGCGATTTAAGCGCCGGCTGTTGTCTTAATGAGAACTAAAATTTTAGAATGAATTCTAGAATTCATTCTAGAATTTTAGTTCCTAATTAGGACGACAAGCGGCGCTCCAGTCATAAACGATTTCGAAATCGCGATCTGTAAAACTAGCATAGCATGGAATGAACACACAATAGATTTGTAAACGAGTCAAACAATACAAATGAACATAGAATTGATACAAATGAACATATAATTAGATTCAAAACCAGAAGTAACTAATTCTATAACTTATCAACTAGATAAATAATACAAATGTACATAGAATTAGATTCCAAACCAGAAGCAATTAATTCTATAACTTATCAACTAGGGAAATAATACAAATGTACATAGAATTAGATTCCAAACCAGAAGTAACTAATTCTATAAAAAATAATTATGGCGGTGATCCCCTTCCATACATTAGTACTCTTTACCTGTATTTTGGATTTTATTCCTATATATTAACTAGTCGGTACTTTTCCTATTTGTCTTCAATAATATAACCGGCTATGATTTATTGATTATTTCACGACCTAGTGTCTGTAATACTCTAACTACCAAACCAAAGCAGATATCTTAAAAGAAACGGGACCTGATATGCACAAAAAACCTATATTGACGTAGATGTGTTGATGACTTTGATCTTTTTTTTTTATTTCTTATTCATTATAAATTTAAAGGAAGACGACGTAAATCATACCTGTGTATTGTCTACAGGTGATCACCTAAATACTTATTACGTCAATCCTCTTTCTTCATGTCATGTAAACGTATGTAGAAAGTTATCTCGGTTAATACAATCTCTCCAAGTGTAATCAGGAAGCTACGTTGTCATGATGAGTATTCAATTTGATGATGAGTATTCAATTTGTGTTTTTACATTTTGTATATTCTTTCATTTATTTGACATATCTGTTCCTCAGTTTAAATAGGAGCAAAGCTATCAATCATGTCTTATCTAAATTGAAATCTAAAGTTTAAATGTCCTATTACATTTTCATATACACGATAGAGGTAATTGATTTACTGCCTTTTGTACACCTGCCCAATCGATCCGGACTAATAATCCCACACAACATCTATGTACTTTTTTTGCTTAATAGATCTTCCCTTGAATTAAAACCGAATATATTATCCAAATCAAAGAGGACAACCCCTTTTACTTATTTCAATGACTTGAGTGACTACCTGAAAAAAAGAAAATGCAAAAAAGTCCATGACCTATCCATGCTTAATTAAATACTTTTTTTTCGAAAGACTGAGTAGTGGCGATGATATTGATCGTTTCAATGTAAATATGTTGGTCGTGACGTCTTGTTTTTCTTTTAAGTACTCTGACGTTAGAACCCAGTGGTGAGATATTATTTCATATAAATGTTTAATACCTAGAAGAGGAAAAAGTTTTTTTCTCCTAGTAAATTGTACTTAAATTGTTCTATCACTTTATATCTAATAATTTAAGATGTAGTTAGTCCAACTTTAGGAAGAAAATCCAAGCTCGCTCTGTTGTGCTTTTAACGAGGACGAGTTTCACCTTTTTATTCGATCTTTTTAATATCTTGAGTTGCTTCCCAGTTTATAATAGCAAAATGTATTCTTTATTAAGTATGATTTCCGATTTTTACAGAAAGACCTCCACACCGGATAATTGATTCCCTGGCTGTTTGATTATGAAACAGAGATCGTAATTTTCACCTTGCTACCGATATTAATATTAGTCAATATTTATGTCTACACAATTACCTGGAATAATTTGAAAACGTTCATACGCCCTGAAAATCATGAAGTCTTACATAACTGTATTTAAATATAGATGAAACAGTATAAATTTTACAGAAAACAATTTTAAGGCTTGTATATCGCAGAAAAAGTGCTGCTAATATCTAGAGTAAGACACGCCAATTAAATAAGTATTTTCTTATATCATTTGACACTGTAAGATAAGCGGGGCGATATCGACTTTACGATTGTGATATTCCCCCTTTCTTGGTAGTAACATCCCTCCTCATCCCACTTATGGTGTTTTCATGTGGCAATTGCTTCGGTATTCACGAGCGTGCTCTGACTATCATGCTTTCGTGATATGAATGTCCACTTCTGACGGACAAACTTACAAACAGGATTTCCAGAAATGCAGGGTAAATGAAGACGATTGGCATGCTTAGTGTTGCTTTCCTTATCTCAAATGAAAATATATGCTATTTGTGGCAAGTAAACAGTAAATCACACCAACGAGCATAATAAAAAGTCGATATAAACATATCACAATGAAACGGGGGAATTCCCCTATTCATAACAATGGTATGACGTCACTTCAACAATACAATGACGTCACCTCAACAATCCATCAATGTCACGTCAACACTGAATTTATCATGTAACGTTATCATTACATTGTGTCTATGATACACATAGGGAGAACAGGGTAAGAGAAAAAGAATAATTCACCCCTTTGTGGGTAAGATAGAGGAATCTAAACCCTCGGGGAAAGATTCTGAAGTTGCCAAACATAAGAATCTTCCCCCTCGGGTTGAGATCCACCTATCTCACCCCCAAAGGGGTGAATGATTCTATTAATCTCTCATCAAAGCATTACTCTGAGATTACAGGGGGAATTCCGTGTACGGTCCACCGTATGTCACACGTCAAAGATCAAAACAGTGTCCCCGTCGATACCTTGCCGGAGTTTTCTTTGTTCCTGATTTATTTTATTTATTTATTTCCAATTCAACAGACCCAAGGGTCCACTTACAGAATGGATAACAATAGTATAAAATATCACAGTCAGTTGTTCATGTAACACACACTAAAAGATACTCATATGTAAAACAAAAGGAATTAGTGATACATGTAGCAAGGATTCCTTAACCGTACTTTTAACTCGGCGAGAGAGGAACGAAACATATCGCAGTCTTGTGCAAAATCTAGAGACTTAAAATTACATTGAATCCTGTTTAAAATACTATACTTTCTAACGTTTATTCTACTTCTCTGGCAGTAAAGTAAAACTGGTTGGAACGAATTGATCGTAGATTACGACCAGGGACTAAAAAACACATTTGCTTGATTAAATATGGACAATCAAAAGCACTTTTAACACATTTGTAAAGAAATACACATTCTAAAAATGTCCGCCTATGTTCGAGGCTAGGAAGATTAAAATGCCTACAAGTGTCAACGTAAGGTAGTCAACTTGTGCCTTAAAATATAAAAATGATGTTTTAACGACGATGTGTTTCGGACACATCCATATGTACTGTCTATGTAGCTATGCTTAATTCTAATTTGTCTTTCAGGTTTTTAGGTCGACATTTTTACGGTAACGGAATCTCGTATATTTTCTATACAAATATATTACTAAAAATCTAAAACATTTAAAATTCATCGAAAGAGTATTCACATTTTTACTACATTATTTGAAATGACATATATGATTACCGGTAAGAGATATTTACTGATTATTTGAGAAAATGTGTATAAACTCGTCCTGTCGACCATTTACTAAGTTATTGTATGTATAACACTATCACGTCTGTCTAAAATCCCCATGTCGTCTAAAGACGAATTATTTACCTGAACTTAATCAAATAGTTTAAAGTATACCCATCTTTATAAAGTCTTTAAAAGAAGCAAAACTTCCATGCTTTCTTTATTTTTTCTTGTTTTTTTTTCTCTGAATAAAACATGCGAGAAAACTCGTTCGTAGTACCTTATTTTAGGAATATTGCTATGGAGATATCCCAGTATATGTTATCGCTATAACAAATTTAGTAAATATGAATCAAGTTGAGCAAACTTGATCAAACATTCCCTTGTATTACGTGTTGTGGGAGACAGATTTCTCACCTGAATGCTCGTTTACACCTATACAATATAATGAATCAGTTTGGGCTAATAGTGTGATAATGTGTATTGTAATGTATGTGAAAGGAACGTTTATACCTTCAAAACGGTGTCTACTTTAACGAGAAATTAATTAATTCCCCCATTGATACCACGTCGTTGATACAGGTAAAAAGTCTTGTTAGCTGCAGGTAAGACCGTTGCTATAAAATAATCACCTGATTATTAAATTGGGTTTTTTCTCCGTTATGTAATACATGTTCTTTCTATCGAACAGATCTGTTAGAAAAGACCTGCTCATAGTTGATAATATGAAAAATGATATGAAGTTTAACATGACTTTTTCCTCTTATATTGAAAGATGACTTAACTCAAATTCCGGCGACCTTGCATATCCTAGTTTGATTCATCAGACCTCTTCACATACGCTAACGATTTCTTGCGGTGATAACGTGTTTGTAGATAGACAAAAAAGCTTTTCTATAAAATAAGCCATACCTGACATTTTCAGAAATTGTGAATTCCAAGTTAAGGTCGTTTAAAATATTTCGGATTCAGAACATTCATATATTGTACACCAAAAGGAAAATCGGCATGGACTTACATGTTAGGAAGATGAAGAGTGTCCGTATTCAAATATATTTAACTTTTGTGCTCCTTCATTGTGATGTACATTGTTTGGTAAGTATTAATGACAACGTATGTATAGAGCCACTGTTTCTGCATCATTTTATTTTCCTTTTAATCTCTTTAATTTTCAAAATAATGGAAAATATATGAGACTTGACAATCAGCAATTAATAATTTGGTAATAATTGGTTTTACAAAAGTTTCTAAAACTGTTTTATAATCAATAAAATGAATATTCACCTACATAATAAGTATTGATGACAAAATTAAAAAAAAAATGAATAAAAACTTGATTTTGATAAACTTATGAAATCTATTACATTTATTTTTTTCCTTTTTGGACAATTTTTTGAGAAATATTTTTTTAAGTCATATTTTTTGCAAATACCATCAGAATTAGTCTTTTTTCCACAAAATACAAACAATTCTACGTTTTGATGCTAAATAACGACGCATCTTTCGATATTTTTTTCAATATGTTTGCTTTGGCGTGTTGTTTTTGTGTTTCTCGTAGGTTTATTTGGTATATTTATTTAAATGTTCATAAGTTTTTATCATCTAGGAATAAAAACTAATAATCGAATTACTGAGCCCGAGAAATAACGCTTGATAAAACTAAGCTTTTGACAATAATATTTACATGATTAATAAAAAAAATCAGGAAACATTGGAAAATCATTTAAAATAACTGATGCAAATGTTTGTTTTCCATTTTTAGTATCATTTTAAAGTAGACTATCCAGCACAGAAACTCTTAAATATGCCAATATAACTTTACTCTTAAATTTCTTTAGGGTAATTATTGGGCGTTGAAACATATATTTTATGGATTTTAAATATCTAGTATGATATGTATTGATGTCATTAACGACTACCAAAGATTTAAAGTGTCAAGCACATTGCTAATGATAACAATTTTCAATTTATATTTAAAAAATTGTAGACAGTTTTAATGTGTTATGCCTGGTTATTAGAATACTGTTCAATCATGATCTGTGAGTGATGTATTACATTTATTAATAATGGAAAATAACGTTACAGATTCCCATGATCTTGCCGTGAGGCCAAAATCCTTTGACAGCCTTTTATATGTTGAAGTTCGTGAGCCTCCCTGAGTAAATATATAATTTGGTCATATTTTTTCCTTGTTTTATCATTTCTAAGTTTACGTTACGGTTTAATTGACACTTCAGATTTCTATTTAGGTTTTTTTAACCTTTAAAAAAAATATTTGTAAAGATATAACATACAGCAAAGTAAACCGTGGTAAAAGTATCAAATATACGTCTCGAAAATGATATGCATTGACATGCCACAAGAGTAAAATAAAGAGCAGTCGTGGTGTCTTTTTACACATTTATTTATTTATCGGTCTTTTTATTAAATGGTAATCCATAGCAAACATGAAGTCTTGCAGATTCATCGGTTAGCGATGTTTTAACATTCGGCGTTGTGATCAAATAGTCATATATTATTGTTCATCTAGAGGCACTCCTTAGTAAATAATTTTTAAAATAATGGCACAAAGAGTAGTTTGGTAATTTGATATTCGTTTAAGGCTCGCTTTAAAAAAAAGAGGATCGTTAAATCACAACAGCTTAGAATAAAAATCCTTGTTAAACTGAGTTCGTGACTGAAACGTTTATATGTCTTTAACTAATGACATATCCATTGCTTGGTTGAATGACTTGTATTCTTACTTATACAATACAGTTATGACTATGAAAAATATAAAAATTACAACCGTACATACCCTGAGTACATTAATCACGACGAAATGTTTAATGCTATTTGGAAAATGAACAAAATTACTAACATGTTGGTACACAAATGAACCCAATCAGCTGGCGATATACCCAAGCATTAAACTCGTAATAACGGTAATCAAAAGGTGCCAATATATCAAACGACTGGAACACAGATTTTCTCAGTAAGCCTCTGATACACAAATACTAAACTCGAATCACAAATACTGAACTCGAATATTAAACTATAAGAATGCAAACCAACTCAACGCGTCTTCGATACTCATACACCCAACTCGTAAGAAGGTAACTATTGCAACCAATATATCAAACCATGGGAACACAAACCGATTCAATGCGCCTTCAATACTCATATTCGAAACTCGTAAGAAGGTTACTAATCCAACCAATATACTAATCGTTGGAACACAAACTGACTCAATGCGCATTCGATACTCATATAGTGAACACGTAAGGTAACTAATACAACCAAAACATTAACACGCATGCCCAAGTACATGTACCATTTACCAGTAATTGACGTGTTTAATATAATAAGTTTTGTGCTTTATTTCAAGCCCAATGCTTGAATGTTGTGACATGATCAGTCTGATATTTTCGTAGGTTTTTATTAACGCACTTTACTTAGGAAATATCATTACATAGAGGTGTTATTAACAAATGATAGCTATTCCTGTTTAGTGTGTGTTCACTGATTGGCTTCATACAAACACAAAACAAATATTTTGTTTTGACAGAAACCATACAATAATTGTAAACAACAAGGGGTATGCAATACGGAACGGAACACAGTGTCATGCAGGATCTTAAGTTTATATCGTCCATTCTGGAAATGATTGCATCGTGACTGGCAATTTGTCAATATGTGTAACACGGAAATATACTGAGCATGACCTATAGCGACGTCTAACAAAAATATACGACACCATGAACTCAACTTCATGAACGTTCAAACATTTCCTGCTCCACACATGTCACTCGCATATATATATCCCGTACAATCTAGAGACATACATGTACATAGGCAATCAAGGGAAAAGTTAAAACACTTAACTCCAGTTATATATATGGTAAACTTCATGTTGTTCCTGTTACAAATAATTGAAATAGAAATCGATACGTTATTTTACGTAAGATTCCGGAAACTATGAATGATTAGTTATCCTATTTGAAGTCACCTGTATACTTTTATTTCCAGCCACCAATAATAGCTAATCTACCCAGTTCCGTCTCAATTATGGAGAGTCTTGTGGGTTCGACTGTCACGGCGTTAACACCAGTATCGCCACTTAATGTGAGCGACCCTGAATCGGACACATTTAATTGTCTGGTCTCCAATGTGGCTCCGACAGTGACTGGTTTCGCCGTCACGTTAGTTGGCACTGGTAAGTAATAAAGATGTGGTTCCCTTGGTTCCCTTATGCAATTTCTGTACATCAGGACATTTTCGCCGCAGTTTAATATTCGCCTTTTTGCCAATTCGCAATGAGGGGAATTTTATCATAACATTGTTATAAACAGCATACCTTATACAGTAATTACATATTGAGGGCGAAGTTAACACCGGGTGAACATGGATTTAACCAAGGAAGGGTGAATATCTTACTGGGCGATAGTTTCCTGGTATACACTGGTTTTTTTTCTATTTTCAAGGCTCAATTTAATGTGTATGGTTCAGTTCCCTTTGCGGTTGACTTCTTCTTTCTTCCATATTAATTATCTATGCATGGTCGTTATAGCTACAATGTAAATTGTGCAGGTTTTAAGATATACATTAAGTTTTCTATCCATATGTAAATGTCATTATATTCCCGCAGTTGATATCACCTGACATTGTGTTTCGATATTTAGCATTCTTTCTATATATCTAACCATACACTGACTTCGATGATGCATGATAAGACATTTTCAGTTTCTCGTTTTTTCAGAATCCGAAAAACCAAGCAGCATGTATGATTAACATTTTATAGAAATTATCTTCGAATGTTCCATCAAAACAATTTGTATTTAAAAAATGTCCTTCTGTCATGAACGAAGATTTAAAAATTAACTGTGATCATCGATGGATGCATGTATGTTTCTCGGGATTATTAAATGATTGATAATATTTTCAGATTATAACTTTTTCATGACATCGAACCCTGGTTTCGAACACGACGACGACAACCTGTACACTGTGACTATAACATGCACCGACTCGAACTCGGAAGCTGCCTCGGGTGACATCAGCGTCAACATACTACCAAACACACCGCCGACCATTGCCGGTATGCCAGCATTTGAGAATGTGCTGGAAGGCGAATCTGTGACAAGACTTGTATACACAATATCGGTTTCTGATGTTGAATCTGATACATACACATGCGCAATTACTCCAACCAACTTTCCGTTTAACCTTCAATTGAATGGAGCAGGTAAGACAAGACAGACATTACTCGTTCATGTTGTCTATGGTTTCTTTATAAAATACAAGAGTAAAATTGTTCACTTTCTATTTCAATATCTTTCTATTTCAGTATCTTTCTATTTCAGTATCTCTCTATTTCCTCATTGTGCCTATATTTGATTGCATTACATCAATGGCAACTACAATTTCGAGTGTGATCAAAGTGTTCGTATTACTTAAGATTCTTAAACTGCTTGTTGAATAGGGTATTCTTTTTCTTAAATAACATTTATTCATTTTTCAGTTTATTCTATTCATCTGAACGATAATCCATCGTTAAACCATGCAGCTACGCCATCCTATACCATCACAATTACGTGCACGGATGCATTTGGCGAATCAAATGGTGGCGTCTTACAAATCACGGTCACCCCTAACAACGCCCCGGTGATGAGTGGACTTCCGGCAACAGTCTCTGTTTCAAACATTGAAACAGCATCCAGATCTTTGAAAACAGTAACAGTTACAGATTCCGATGGGCAGACTGTGACATGCAGTGTGACGTCATCACCAAGTGGTCCGTTCTCCATGGTCCAGGATGTGTCAATACCAGGTAGGTATTCCAGTGCTATAAGACACCTGTCAAAATCATTTAAATTAATAAATGATACTATAAATCAAAATTATTGAAGGAATAAACTAATCAAAAAAAATATTATAATGATAGAAACATAAAAAAAACCTCAAATGGGCTATTAATTGTTAGTTTTATCAAGAAAAATGTGTATTGCTATTTCCTTACATTATCTTGTTTGACCGCATGCATATACCACTTTACAATGTTTCAACCCGTTTTTCGATGTTATTTAAGCTGACACATGTAAGGTTGCATAAAACGCATATTGTTATTATCGACTTTCAACTGACCAATCGGGGAGTGACATTTTTGCAAAAATATAATGAGAACACATTAAGTTGATCAAAGCAACGTCATTTGGTGGGCCGTGGCCGACTGACTTTCGTTTTATAAACATTTTTGCGCTTGATACCCAATGTACTCTGTACTCCAAATTGACTTTTGGTATTTATGCATATTTCGTAGTGTATCTAACATTCCACTGTTGAATCTTCATCAAATTCTGTAATTGTTCGAATCAACTGTAAATGTCAAGGCCCAAATGATGGTCTCATTCACATTGCGACGTCATAACTGTAACTTTGGATACATTTACCAGGCACACTTCCCAGAAGATGGATGCTATTACCTATTGCATTAGCGCACACGAAAATTATATTTAACTTGAACTAAAATGTTAACTTTAAGATGTTATTCCATTTTTGTGAAATCATTTATTTTTTCAAAAGCTATCAAAAGCATAATTGCGCTACATGAAGCTGGCTTTCTTAGTCAAAATGACCACACTCGGAATTAAAATAAATGTCAACTGGGAATTAACAAATTCAGCAGAACTCGCTAAATATAGCAAACTTCGGGTTCAATTTTGGAGGTGACTGCCGAATGCATGCAATGCAATATTAAAATGATTATTTATTCAATTTCGTCTTTATTCCAGAGTACAAGGTTTATCTAGACGCTAACTCTAACACTGCTATCGCCGCCGCTGCTGCCACAACCTTCGCAGTCACTGTCTCGTGCACTGATTCCACGGACACGACGTCCGCAGTTCTAACCGTCGACGTCACAAGCAACAATTATCCTTCGCTAGATAATTTGCCTGCGTTTGTGAACCTGGACGAGAGTGCGGTGGGATCGACTGCTGTCGCTGACACTTTACTGACGTTAACAGTGACAGAACCAGATGGTGAGACTTACTGGTGTGAACTTACACCGGCCGTGACTGGTTTCGCCCTCTTGGATAATTCTGGAAGTAAGTATTCACAAGGGTTATGTACTTATAGTTTATTCCACAGTTTTGTTAACTTAATGATATTTAGTTTCCCGTTAAATTTAATAATTTCGTTTTTAAAAATATCATACTTATTATATCAAGATATATTTGATAAACGCAATTATTTATTTGCATAGTAATGGAATCAGTTCTAACTACTATTACTATGTGCTGGTATGCTATTATATTTACTGAATAGCAATTATGTTTACTCCCTTACTATTATACCTGCTGGTCAACGTTTTTCCTGGTCAGCTATTGGAGCTTCTAAACAACTTATATAGTCGTATTCAACAGCAATAACTAGTCATTTATTCAACGAGTTTTGATGCAAAAGCTTGTTTTCTCTTTGGTTATCGAAGCGGAAAATACAAAAAGTAAACTTAATATATAATTATAAGTTAAAAATTACACCTCCTTTCTGAAATACATAATCCCCATCTTAATGGTGTTTAGTGGTTCACGATTTCCCTTTATTTTATTGTTTTATTGTACTCTTGTTTAACCGACTTTGCGTTCCGATGGGGTTCGTATTATTGGACGCTGCGATAGTCTTGAATTCACTAGTTTACTAAACTTTTAAATACTAAGAAAAAAAAGCCATCATAAATCAGAGTGAAAGCGCAAATGCTCTAATTTGACTTAATATAAACCCAGTGCACACGTAGAAACTGGTATTCCGATTGCTATTGAAAAATTGGTATTATACGAGAGTTTTACGGGAAATGCAACACTAAGGAATGATAGTTCCATATTTGTCTATTAATTTTTTTTACAAAAAATCAATTCAATCCCTTCATATGTTTTCACACGTACAAATATGAAGATAAGTTCCTACTTTACTCAAGGTTACATGATGGTGTACTAATGATACCAATGCAGAATTGTCATGAATTCGTTAAATAGTTTCAATCAAAAAGGCGTGATAAACCTGGGGTTAGGACAAACTTAATACACGTATCAAGCACAATCTAAAAACCTTAAAAAGAACAGAACAGAGATAATATAACACTACTTACAAAATACATATTTGTTAAACACAGTTATGCATTTGCACAGTTATGGAATTAGTTTTAATTACTTCGCTTTGGTATATTTGTCCAGGGGAGTATCAATATCCTTATTGTCCTTTCCCTTATTAATTATGTATTAGTAACAATTGATCTAACTATTAGTGTTGATATCCTGATGTAGATTTCTTGTGTGCTCTAGATCTGTCGATAGTCATTTAAAGGTGGTGTATGGGCAATGTACTGTTACAAGCAATTCCAACAGGTGCGCATATCAAACACAAACCTAAAGTAATATTAAACAATTTCTATCTTATTCCTGACATAAATAAATCAATTATTTTCTTTTCTGATACTGAGGCTGGTTAGTTTGGACCCTTGCGTGTTTTTATCCCGTTGTGATTCGTCGTCCGAACACATTCGGTGTAAGGTGTAATCATACTTAGGAATTAAGTAAAGCTAACAATACCGTGATAATCATAACTTAATACGCACTTTCACGTTAGCGGAACAATAACCAAGTTCCTGTACAAACACAAGGACGTTTACCCAGTCACGTGAACTAGCCACCTGATGGTTTGAAGGACACTGTTAATGACTTGAACGCGGGCGTTTCCATGCATACAGAACGGCTTTATTGAATTTAAGTACATTATGGACATGAAGCTGACCAGACATCACTTCAAAGTCACGAATTTGTTAAACTGTTCATTTATGAAATTGCTCGCATTTTAGATATTTGAATCGTTTTGTTAAATTTGGACAGTTTCTCAGAGACATTATGATTTACACTTCGTTCTGGAACCGTTCTGGATCCTGGGTCCATTCGTAAAGGATATATACAGTTTTTCACACGGGAACCTAGAACTATTTCAAGTCTGTTAATCTCTTGTTTCAAACTTACAAAATTGAAATTAAAAAACGTTACTTAACAAACATTTAGAAATCCCTTTTTATAAAATAAAATCATAAGTATAACTGTAAAATGAGAAAACAATATTCCTATTTAAGAATCCTTGTCCCGTTGGCTTGTTATTTTGTATATATAGTTTTAACAGTGGAATGGGGACCCTCAACCATCAATGAAAAATCAATTAACAATTAACAGACTTCATGGGCTTAAATGGTTATTTTCAGTATTCCAGAATAGTGCAAATAAGACAAAATAAGCGTTTAAAGCACAATCCATTACTGATATCTTTACATTATTTATACAAAGCGAATAGTTCTTCATTCTTTCTATTATTGTTTACCTTTTTATTGACCGAATACTGTTAAGCACTTATTTATTTATATTTTATGAATACCGCTTACAAATAGTCAAGTATAAAAGATCATTTGTCCTTTTTAGTTCAGAAAAAAATATTTAAATACAGTGTACGAATTCTGAAAAACTCGGGCAGAAAAAATTTTTTTTTAGTAAATTTTGTTCCGTCAATACTGACCGAAGAGCACTAAAATGAATGTCATTATATAATAAACTCTATAAAATGAATGTCATTATATAATAAACTCTATAAAATTAATGCTTTTGAGTTTAAATATGGCTTGCTGAATGCTTTATTATTGCTGTATTCGTTTTATTTGATTATGTAAACATTCATTTTGGTGATTTCATAATCTTTTGAATCATTATATAATGGTATCAGACTAATGAATTATTTCAATTATTGACTCAACGAATTTGTGTCCTTTCATCTCAATCGTAAAGTAGTAACCAAGAGGTGTGTCTAAAATAATGATAATGGACAACCACACATTCTCCATCACAGTAAAAATAAGTCAGTCGTTTTTAGATTGCGGTTTCGATGTATATTATCGTAGAATAGGCGCCAATCAAGGGCTCTGACGGAATATTTCTGAATAGGTTAAGAATAAATGTAGACTGTAGTGTTCACACACAAGAAAAGACTCGGAATGAATACGAAAAGACAACAAAAGGAGGAAAAAAGGAAATAAATTGAAACTCTGGCAAGTGTTTACCCATATTCATTACGTGATATAAAGATCCACCGATAGGGGTTTACATTGAACTTCTCTAGCACATAATTCTGAAGTTAATTTGATTTTTTAAAGCAACATTATTGAAACATTTAAAAGAAAAAAGAGAAAAACATCATTTAATTGATTGTTTCTTAATGTTTTAATGGCACGTTCATATTTTCTTGTAAGGTGCGTAATATACTCGTGAACCAGTTTCTAAATTTTCAAGCTTGGATAAAACAAACACGATTTAAGATGGGCTATTTCCATTTTCAGCGCGTGAATTTTCCCTTTCTTGACAGTAACATGCCCGTACCCCATCGTACGGCGTGAACATATCGCAGTTAGATTCTGTCACATTTGCGCTTATTTCCAAAAAGAGGCCCGGGTTTTTTGGCCAAATTCGGCCAACAAGCCGGGGAACCGTAAGGACGCCGGGAGATGATCGGCCACTATTAGCCGATTTTTACTAAACGCCGCACGGGTTGCCGGGAGCTTTTAGCGCGCAGATAACAGTTACCGGTGTCGATTTTTCTCATCCAAACTCATCGGAACCTCCCCAACAGTCTTCCGTAAGTTTCCTGCAAGGATTTCGTTAGATTATCTTACCGTCTCATCGTACGGTCATCTTGGAATTTTGTACAATTTTACATGCTCCCAGGTGTCCTGTAGACCTTCCGATGTTCGGACGGGTGCCGTACGGCAATCGTAAGTTAGACGCCCGATGTCCTCAAACTGTGCAGTGTCCGTGGGATATTCGGTCGACGCACGCCCGATATCCGGACGGGCATCGGCCGATGCTTCCGGCGCCCTGACGGCACACATACGGGCATCTTGATTTACACGCCATATAAAATGCGAAATATCGCGCGGGCTACTTACATTTTGTGTACGTATCCCGTACGTAATCCGTCCGTCTCACGTCGGCCTCACGAACATCTTCTGGCTACCGTACGACAGTCCGGCCTTCGTCAAATAGCCTTTCGGTATCCTTACGATAGTCTTACGGGCTCCCCATACGGTATACTTCAGATGTCCGTTCGATTTAATCCGGCAAATTGTTTGCAAGGGCGTGCTGGGCCACGGCAAATCCCAGACATAGGAAAATGGTCCCCGGCGGATTCCTACTTCCTACTATAAATTAGCAATTCCATAGCTTACATGTACTCCGAATACCTCAGCAAACTGAAAACTTAAAAACAAATCCACAATATAAATTACATTGATGATATTGCTACGGAGTACATTTTGTAATTTTCAATATATATAATCTGAATTGTATAACTATGATCTATTTCAGCGTACAATGTGTACCTCGCCATAAACCCTGGTTTTGAGTATGATACCATGTCACAGTACACGTTGAGTATAACATGTACCGACCAAAACGGTAATGCGGCGACTGACACCGTCACTGTCAACTTATTACCCAACACGCCACCTACCTTCTCCGGTATGCCTGCTTCGGTCACTGTCAGTGAAGGAACATTGATTTCTACAAATATATACAGCATTTCTGTGACGGACACTGATTCCTTCACGTGTGCTATCGGAACCACAACACCCGCATCTGCTCCTTTCAGCATTCTGTTTGGTACCTCAGGTAAGTAAAAGAACAAATATTTATGATATACCAACAACTTAACCAGTGATGATGAAATGAATTTTATGAATTTTTATAGATTTTACCGTAGTCATGCGGTATTTCCCATTTCGTTCGTCTAAGAAATCACATATTCTATAAAACTGATGTGTTGGCACTAGACTATCATTTCCATGTGTGTTGGCACAGTGGTATAGTCTGTACCGTGTGTTGGCATAGTGGTATAGTCTGTACCGTGTGTTGGCAATATGTGGTATAGTCTGTACCGGGTGTTGGCAATATGAGGTATAGTCTGTACCGAGTGTTGGCACAGCGGTATAGTCTGTACCGTGTGTTGGCACTATGTGGTATAGTCTGTACCGTGTGTTGGCATAGTGGTGTAGTCTGTACCGTGTGTTGGCAATATGGGGTATAGTCTGTACCGTCTGTTGGCACAGTGGTATAATCTGTACCGTGTGTTGGCACAGTGATATAGTCTGTACAGTGTGTTGGCATAGTGGTATAGTCTGTACTGTGTGTGGGCACAGTGGTATAGTCTGTACCGTGTTTTGGCAATATGAGGTATAGTCGGTACCGTGTGTTGGCACAGTGGTATAGACTTATCGTATGTTGGCACAGTGATATAGTCTGTGCCGTGTGTTGGCATAGTGGCATAGTCTGTACCGTGTGTTGGCAATATGGGGAATAGTCTGTACCGTGGGTTGGCACAGTGGTATAGTCTGTACCGTGTTTTGGCAATATGAGGTATAGTCGGTACCGTGTGTTGGCACAGTGGTATAGACTTATCGTATGTTGGCACAGTGATATAGTCTGTGCCGTGTGTTGGCATTGTGGAATAGTCTGTACCGTGTGTTGGCAATATGTGGTGTAGTCTGTACCGTGGGTTGGCACAGTGGTATAGTCTGTACCGGGTGTTGGCAATATGTGGTATAGTCTGTACCCTCTGGTGGCACAGTGGTATAGTCTGTACCGTGAGTTGGCACAGTGATATAGTATGTACCGTGTGTTGGCAATATGTGGTATAGTTAAATCTCAAGTGTTGAAGAGGTTGCTACATTGTGTCAGGCAATATGAGGTATAGTCTGTACCGTGTATTGGCAAAATGTGGTATAGTCTGTACCGTGTGTTGGCACAGTGGGATAATCTGTACCGTGTGTTGGCACAGTGGTATAGACTTATCGTATGTTGGCACAGTGATATAGTCTGTGCCGTGTGTTGGCATAGTGGGATAGTCTGTACCGTGTGTTGGCAATATGGGGTATAGTCTGTACCGTCTGTTGGCACAGTGGTATAGTCTGTACCGCGTGTTGGCAATATGTGGTATAGTCTGTACCGTATGTTGTCAATATGAGGTATAGTCTGTACCGTGTCTTGGCAATATGAGGTATAGTCTGTACCGTGTATTGGCAAAATGTGATATAGTCTTTACCGTGTATTGGCAATATGTGGTATAGTCTGTACCGCGTGTTGGCAATATGTGGTATAGTCTGTATCGTGTGTTGGCATAGTGGTATAGTCTGTTCCGTGTGTTGGCACAGTGGTATAGGCTGTACCGTGTGTTGGCACAGTGATATAGTCTTTACCGTGTGTTGGCAATATGAGGTATAGTTACATCTCAAGTGTTGAAGAGGTTGCTACATTGTGTCAGGCAATATGAGGTATAGTCTGTACCGTCTGTTGGCACAGTGGTATAATCTGTACCGTGTGTTGGCACAGTGATATAGTATGTAACGTGTGTTGGCAATATGTGGTATATTCTGTACCGTGTGTTGGCACAGTGGTATAGACTGTACCGTGTGTTGGAACAGTGGTATAGTCTGTACCGTGTGTTGGCAATATGAGTTATAGTCTGTACCGTGTGTTGGCAATATGTGGTATAGTCTGTACCGTCTGTTGGCACAGTGGTATAGTCTGTACCGTGTGTTGGCAATATGAGGTATAGTCTGTATCGTGTGTTGGCACAGTGGTATAATCTGTACCGTGTGTTGGCACAGTGGTATAGACTTATCGTGTGTTGGCACAGTGATACAGTCTGTGCCGTGTGTTGGCATAGTGGCATAGTCTGTACCGTGTGTTGGCAATATGAGGGATAGTCTGTACCGTGTGTTGGCACAGTGGTATAGACTGTATCGTGTGTTGGCACAGGGATATAGTCTGTACCGTGTGTTTGCACAGTGATATAGTCTGTACCGTGTGTTGGCAATATGTGGTATAGTCTGTATCGTCTGTTGGCACAGTGGTATAGTCTGTACCGTGTGTTGGCACAGTGGTATAGACTGTATCGTGTGTTGGCACAGTGATATAGTCTGTACCGTGTGTTGGCACAGTGATATAGTCTGTACCGTGTGTTGGCACAGTGGTATAGTCTGTACCGTGTGTTGGCAATATGAGGTATAGTCTGTACCGTGTGTTGGCACAGTGGGATAGTCTGTACCGTGTGTTGGCAATATGTGGTATAGTCTGTACCGTGTGTTGGCACAGTTGAATAGTCTGTACCGTGTGTTGGCATAGTGGTATAGTCTGTACTGTGTGTTGGCACAGTGGTATAGTCTGTACCGTGTGTTGACACAGTAGTATAGTCTGTACCGTGTGTCGGCACAGTGGTATAGTCTGTACCGTGTGTTGGCACAGTGGTATAGTCTGTACCGTGTGTTCGCACAGTGGTATAGTCTGTACCGTGTGTTGGCAATATGTGGTATAGTTACATCTCAAGTGTTGAAGAGGTTGCTACATTGTGTCATCAGTGATGGTACTGTGGTAAAGTCCTTTTCAATTTACCTTGTTGTAATGTGGTCCCTTTCGTGATTACGTTTAAGCATATTCTTAACTAACATGTTGACGCTTTTCTATATTTTGTTCCTTCATGTTGACGCTGGTAAACACAGTTTGGTAGCCGTTACATGTAATTGGTTGACAAAGTTATGGATGTACGTCAAGGTAATGCCAACGGCCCATCTTTATGTCTGATTGTGCTCAAAATAGTCGCTTTTTTGTACTGCAAACTCTTTCAAATAAATCATTTGCGACTATGGGCAGCTTATGGTCTTTCGTAATGATGCGCATGACAGTAAGAACTTGTTTTAATTATTTTCAGTGTACCTGGATGCTGGTGCGGGATTGGCTACAACCCAGTACGTCGTCCCTATCGTCTGCTCAGACAGTTACGGCTCCTCCACCGGAACACTTACCGTCAATGTATCTCCTAACGGCGACCCCGTTATCACGGGACTTCCGGTTACATTAAGCGTTGATGAGACCGAAACTGCTGGTCGAGATCTGCATATCTTGGTTGTGACCGACCCAGAGGGAGACGTGATCACATGTAGCGTTACGTCATCACCAACCGGTCCATTCTCAATCGTGCAGGATCTGGCTATTCCGGGTGAGTGGGCTGTCCATAATGAAATGAAAAAGATTAAATCATAATTTCAGGTAATTTTTCTTTTACTTCTTAAATAGTTTTCTGGGGGAAGAAATTTCTTTTATGAAGGATCGTTCAGGAAAGATGGACTACAACAGGGCACACTCTTACAATTCTAAATAACTGATTAAGGCTTTACCGCCTCAGATATAATCTAATCATTGCAAGTGAGGAAATAATATATACAGAGGTGAATCTATGACGACAAACACAGGTTTATGTTTAAAAAGTTTAACGAACTGTCCAGGTTACAAACGTATGTCATTCCTCTTAATACCGGTGTTTGATTAGACAGCTGTTTGTGGAGTTATTTTTTGTATATTGTATCTTATTGCTTATTATATTTCTGAGAATTAATGAAACGAATAAGTGAAAAACGACTGATATTTTTAGCACACAAATAAGTTTGTTTTATGATTTGTATTCGTCTTTTTAACTTCAGTCCTTTTGTTTTCTCTGTTAACTTAAGCTTTTCATGAAAAATTATCCCTTGTTCGCCTTTTACTTAATAAATGCATAGATATAAGCATTTTAAACCTAATCTCATTTGTTATCGTGAGTGATTATTCCATTTCTCATTTTTTTTAAGAATACAAACTGTATTTAGACGCCAATGCTAACCTACAGCTGAACTCTGCCGTAGCAACACAGCACGTATTAACTGTCACGTGTTCTGACGCAAATGGCGGCTCCACTTCCGGAACTGTGTACGTCGACGTGACCGGAAACGTTGCTCCAGTATTCACTGGTCTACCGGATGTTTACTCCATCTCTGAGAACCAGGCTACGGAGATTTTGATATGGGCACTCGCCGTGACAGACCCGGAGTCCAACCCGTTTATATGTAGTATGTCAGTCGTGCCCAGCAGCACACCTTTTGACCTCAGAAAGAATACAACAACTGGAGGTAAGCAGTCACGTTTTATGTCACAGATGTATGTTTTATCTATCATTTTACAGATTCTATCGTATAAACTGTTATATATTTCATAACTACAATCATATGTGATACCGATTAAATACGGAACTTAAATAAGAAACAACAAGAAAATACCGAGTTGTCAGCAAAACCACAATACTCAACTCAAAATCAATAAAAAAAATATTACACTGTATAAACAAAGGAAAGGTTTACATGGCGACCATTGAAAAGTGCAAGGAGTATAAGACCAGGCGTTCCGGGGTGGAACGCTTATTCTACTTCATCGAAAAATCCGCAATGTAAACTTAAATTAAATGTTTAGTACATGTTAAGTTTTTATAGAGGAACAACGACAGAGTGACTGCTGTATAATGGACAACCTGACTGTATATAAAACAATGTCGGACCACCACATCAGTATTGGTGTAACGCAGCAGTACAAGCATGTAGACTGTGTAGGAGAGCAGTTTTTTAAGATTATCCCAAAAAATCCTTACTTCCGGTACATTGTACAATGTCAAGACAACTGCATTATAATATTGTGACTTATCTGATTTCCGTGTGTTGTATATTACAGTATACAATCTGTACATCCTGTCTAACCCGGGGTTCCACTACGACACGATCCAGTCATATATCGTTACTTTCACCTGTGTCGACTCCCCACAGGGGGCCTCGGGGACAGCCGTCCTTACCGTGGAAATCATAGAAAACCGTCCACCACAGTTTACCAACATACCAGGTAAATAAAGGATATGCTTCATATAGTACTTTAAGCACTATTGCTCTCTCAAAGAACACGAATTGCAGGATTTCCTCTTTTGGTGTTTTATTTTTTTAATTTTACGAATCACATTTGATTTTGTCATTGCGTGTTGTGTGTATCCATGTAAAATAATTTTTACGTATTTACTTTTTACGTTCTCGCAAATGTTTTTTTTTTTTTTTTGTCTTTCTGTGAACAACAAACATTTAGTTCACGTTTACTCATCCATCTTGTTTTGTTCATGTAAAGTAAAACTTAGGTGATACTATTTGTCAAAACATTTTAAAATTATAAATGTCTTGCAAATTTCAAACACTTGTTAAAGTACGATACATAATACAATCAAACATTTAGAAAATATTCCTATTTTCTTGAATTTATCGGAAGTTGAATGACAATATAAACTCGCGCTGTATCGGCGTTCGACTAAATATCGAATTAATGAATTGATGCACCTACAAAACGTGCATTGCAAAACAATGTTCAAAAATAAAACGCAAAAACCACTAAACTTTAAATTGGATTATTGCTGAGATATAAACGCTTACAGTATTACGTTTGTAATGGATCTATCCACGTTATGTGAATATTCAGTAGTAAACAAACTCTTGTATTTATAGGTGTCGTATCGCCTAACCCCGACGCCCTAAACACTGTGATATACACCAGCCTTTTCACCGTGACCGCCACAGACGCTGATCAAGATCAAGTCTACTTCAGCATGACTGCCGATCCGACCACCGACAGTTTTGCTATCAACACAGGTAATGATGACGTAGTTCACACAAATCGATGTATCATTTTCATGGTACATTTTGTAGTTCGTATTTCACATGCGTAAAACTATTATCCAAACACATGTAACGATGACTTTGAACACACTTGTCGATGACGTACATAAAATGTACGTTCTAATCGATGTCTTTACAATACTTTTGTTTAGTTTAAAGCCTAAGATGATGATGAAATCAACTTGTGTTTTATCTGCAGACGATAGCCAATCCATCAAGCGTGGAATTCAACTGTATCATAGCAACTACCATCGTCCGTGAAATGCAACAAATCTCCTGATCTACTTATACTTATGTTACAATGATTTATGTACCACATTGTGTACATAGGTATTTTATTTTTTGTTTTTAAGCTACTGGAGAAATTACGGCAGCCAGGGATCTCCAAACTGAGTTAATCAGCGTTTATGTCCTAAATGTGACCGCCACAGACAACAAATTGTCCACCTCGGCGTTACTCACACTCACTCTTACAAGTTTGTATTTTTATCAGAAACTCGACTGACATTGTAACTGTCAAGTATACTTATTTGTTAAAACAGCAAGCTATGTGGAAGAGCACAAGACTTTATTTCTCTTGAACATGCAGTTAAAAGAAAAATATTAATCATATATGATATCAATTACAAAAAAAAATCTTTTAATTTTATTTGTACATTTAAGTCTTTGCAAAACATTCATTAATTATGTATTTTAATGTCACATTTGATGTTGTTTGTTGTAGACATCAACACAGCACCAACGATAACAAACCTCGTTCTCAATTCAGTGACGTCCGTTTCGTTTTCTGAAACTTCGGCCTACCGTACATTAATCTATACCCTTAACGTTTACGACCCGGACAGCGGACAGACACAATACGTGACCTTTGACACAACACCCTCTACCGAGGCAGCATTATTTAACCTCACCAACAGTAAGTATGGCATCAACAGGAAGTCAGTGTGACGTCATCAGGCAGTGGATGTGACGTCAAGAGAAAGATTATTGTCAATACGAAGCTAGCATTATCAATAAACTTTAAATACGATACAGTACCAGCAAATATTAAGGATAGTATCAAGAATTATTAAGTATGGTGTCGACAATAAATCATTAATAAAGTCTTCAAATGTTAAGCGCAATGTCGACAAAAAAAGTAAACAAAATATCAAACGTTTTTCTTGCATTGTATCAATCACTACCGCAGGTATTCTGTGAAAATCTTAACAAATTGAAGGTATGGCGTCACGCTTATCTGGTAGACACGTAAGGCAATCACAAATGCGTTATGGTGTAAGTTATAAATCAATAACGTAATTTAATCAATCAAATAGATATGTTCATTACATAAGACGTGGTTTATATGATCAAAAGTATTATGTTATAGAAGCAAACGGTATTGTATCAGTATGTATATGCATTTCAGACGCGGTATCGCTTACTGCCCGTAAGCTCTTCAACTTTGAAGACCAGATCACATATATGCTTGCCTTCTATGTGACGGACAGTATACATATGATAGGTCCCTACTATCTGCAGATTACAGTCCTAGAGGAGGGCGAGCGATGCTACTTCGATAAAACGCTTTACGAAGCCACCGTTGACGAGGCAGGGGTGAGAATATTTGGCAGTTTTGACATATTCTATGACTAATTACAAGATTGTACAGGTGCAATCGAATGTGTATGTAATAAACGTTCCCCTTCGTAAAGAAATGTGTTGAACTCGTGAGATATGAAAACCCTAAATATGCATTAGAAATGTTGTAGAACACAATTTAAACGTATGGCCCCCGTTCCAATAAAGATATACTCCCAAAGGTCATAAGTTTTTTTCTATTTCCAGATCGGATCTGGGACGATCAATCTTGGTTTTTCCATAACTGATCCGGACAATCCAGATTCTCATACCTACACAATCCGGTCGGGAGATGACGCACACCTTTTTGCCATTGACTCAACTACCGGTATTATAACGTTCGCTGTGAATTATGACGTCGACAGCGGAAGTAACCATCCACAAAACGCAACAATTATAATACAATGTACAGATACGTACTCACTGACTGGTAAGTTTATTGTTCGCTTTGAGAATGTGTATGTAACAGTAGAGGGACAATGCCAGACCGGGATTCGAACCCGAGACCTCTGAACTATAGACGGATGCTCTACCAATAGTGATATCTGGTCGCTATCGATCGATCCGTCCGGTTCTGCTACATTTCTTTCTTTCTCAACAAAGTCTTCGACCCGAAAACACAATGGAAACTATATCACTTTCCATGGGCATATTAAATTTGGCGCCAAATGTTATAGGCACGGTCAAATGCAACGGCCAGATATGGGTTCGAACCCGGGACCTCCAAACCTCTAGACGGACGCTTTACCAGTTGAGCTTTATGGTTTCCGACGATCAATCCAGTCCAGTTCCGGCATATATGTACAAAAATAAAATCATGTATACATGTGTATACGTGCAAGAAATTGTAGATGTAATATTTCATCGCTCTGATTATCAAATCCATTGCTTTTCATACCACGTGACAAATTATCAATGACTCTCAGATGACGTTTTGTTTGTGAGGTCCAGTAAAGACTCTCCTCTATCATTGTAGTTGTACCTATCAACAGGTCCATTACAACCTTAATTGGTGTCAACAACCCGTGAGGTGGTTTTCATTGTGTAATGTCTCCATTGACAATGTCACTCTGGTAAAATACTAGCTAGCCGCTTCCTCCCTGCTCGGCTAGGGAGAATTTCTCCTTGGCTCATTCGGTAGAGCGTAAGACTAGTAAGCCAGTGATCCCGGGTTCGACTCCTACATATAGCGGTGGGTTTGAAAAAATAATTGCCTCTATTACAACAATTAAATAGTGATTTTAGTATGCAATTGTAATATATCAAATGTTATACAAAAAGTGTTAAAATACTAGTTGTTCTTGTCTTGCTGTCTGAGTCAATTATGTTTGATTGTCGGACGTCCTTGCACCATTCATGGTCACATGAAGACTTGAGTCTAGGGAGATATCGCCGAGGAGAGATGCAAATCTGAAGTGTTACAATGGGGGCAGACAATCACATTTAGTTTCTTCAATATCTCTATGCAAAGATACAGAAGAAATCTTCTGCTTCTGCAAGGGGCTCTGCAAATATGTTATTTATTTGTGTGATAAGAAGGTCGATGTTGTTGTTAATGCTCGTTAGTGTATTGGTTGGTTTTATTGTCACCGCCCGAGTTCTCGATGCGATGAGGTGACATTACTTTGATTCGTCGATATGTATGACGGCGATCATTAATGAAGTAGAGGACGCTTACCCTTCCGGATCACCTGGTCTTGTTTTACTTTTACTTTTCTTGTTCCCTTAGTTTTATCGAATTGTGGTTTTATTGACACTTCGATATTCTCTAGTGTTTTCCCCTCTACAACCCGCTTACATCAAACTCAAAACTGAGTTATTTGGTTGTTCCTGTTATATTCCTGTTATGTAGTTTTGGAGACAATTCTCTTTCGAATATAAAATAATGTTTCTTTTTATCTGATTTTAGCTTTAACGTATTGCGGTTCACAGTTTTGAATAGAGAAAAACGTTCCTTCTATCTGAGTTTGGGTTAAACGTAAAGTGCCTCACAATATTGAAGAGTAAATTACTTACCTTGAATCAAATCATCTTGTGTGTTACAGGGACGGCCACTGTATCTATATACGTCGATGATATTAACGATAACGCGCCTGACTTCAACTCGGGAGGATATGTTGTAGAGGTTAATCAGTATGACAACCTTGGCCATGCTATTGGTACTCTAAACGCAACTGATAAAGACAGTGGAAACAATGGTGAAGTAGAGTATACAGGGACATCGTCTACTGGTGGATCGTATTATAAAATCGCCAAAAATGGCCAGATTCTCCTTCTTTCAGCACTTACGTTCGAATACGGCACCGCACACCGCTTTCACGTCACAGCTGTTGACCATGGAAGTCCACAACTGACCGGAACTACCTATGTGGACATAGTATACAGGTATAGAACAACGACCACGCCCACTACAACCACAACCACCTTGGCACCAACTGACTTTTGGACAGTGGAAAACATCGCCCTCATAGCATCGCTTGGAGCGTTGGCGCTGTTGGGACTCGCGGTGCTGTTGTTCATGTTGCTGAGAAATACAGGATGCTGTTCAGGAGTGAATGGGCCATCGTGAGTAATCTGTCATTGTGCGGACTTATCGTTAGTTGATATTTACTTTTATAGCTGACAGTTATTATTTCAATAATATGAAAGATACTGTACAATTAAAAATATACCGGTTCTGCCACTTATCTGACCGCCGTGTGGAAAGTTTCCTGTTGGCAATTATCCTTTATCAGTAAAATCTGTGTATTATAAACATTCATAAATCGTCATTATTTCCTTACAGAAGCTGCCGACAAATGTGCAAATGTCATAAGAAATCACCCAACCGAGTAGTAGTGACGTAAGTTCCAAGTTCTGTTACTTAACATCAATAAACGTCATGTAAATATAATACATTACCTTCGTATATGTGTTATTAAGATAAGATATTTTTTATCAAATTGCAATAGACTATTTTAAAGCTTTATGAAGCAAAATATATTGTTGTTATTGTTCCGCCACCGATGACAAATTTTAACCTGTTGTTGACTATGCATGTTTAATTTGAAAAACCGGTTCATGTACCTTTTTTTATTTCAGGCCAAAAAATCCGAAAGCTTCAGAATGGAAACTTTGGGATAACAGTAAGTTTCAATAATTTTTATCGTCTGTTTTGATAACAGTAAAACTATTTTATTTGGGTAAACAGCCTTCTTGACCAATAACTCACAAGACAGGTCTTTGTACACGGGAGGCTTCGCGTTACTCTTTTAATAGAGTATGTTCGTCATCGAATGAGGATTTTAGCAATGGAATTTCACTGAAATGTATAACTTAGTGTAGAAAGGTCCGGAAAGATAACATAGATAACTGATTAGTCACCATTTTACTTGAAAAACTAGTAAAGATGCAACTATTATAGTTTGGTTCATCGGTGAAGAATGCCAAACAAAGCATATTTACTGCACCGTATGGTCTTTTTGAGTCCACTAACGATCAATCAGTTATACTAGAGATTATAAAAATTAAACGTCAGGTCTAAAATGTGAAAACGCGTAGAATGCAGCAAAAAATACAAAGGAAAAAAAGAAATATTTTAACATTAAGAATTGACAATTTTGGCTACAACTATACAACAAATTAATAGAATATCTCACCCATTGGTGATAACATAGAGTATTCACAACCCGAGGGGAGCATTCTTATGTTATCAAACACGAGGCTTTGCCAAGTGTTTGGCAACTTAAAAAATCTTTCCCTGAGGGTAAAGATTCCCCTATCTTACCCACAAGGGGTTGAATGCTTGTAATTTTCCTACCCTGTTCACAAATTGTGTTTCATAGGCAGAATGTAATGTTAACGTTACAGGCTAAATTCTGTTTTCACGTGACGTTGATGACTTGTTGACGTGACGTCATTGTATTGTTGAAGTGACTTCATACCCTGGTTGAGATACCCCCCGTCTCAACCCTAGAGTGAAATTCCACCCGAAGAGTTTTCAAATTTGGTTAAAAGCGAGACTTTGCCGAGGGTTTTGCCAAATTTTAAAATCCTGAGGGTTGAATTTCCCTATCCTATACCTTTGGACATGAAGGAGTATTTTTCTCTCATTTTAACTACCAAAAAAGCTCAGAAACCATAAAAATGCGTTTGTACTGGCTACCATTTTGAAAATATCAAATTTCCTCTGATCTTTACAGACGAAAACGAATCAGTCGGTCAGATTTAGCATACCCCATACTTGCAAACAAATTTGTGCTGAAAAAAACAATCTAATTCGTACGGTAAATATATTGTAAAAGGTTTTAATTTCATCACGTCGCCTTTTCCGCTTTGCGGCATCGGAATCAATATTCAAAAATTTGCTCCCTTTCTAAAATATTCAATTGCGTAAAATACAGCGATACATAAGTGGTCAAAAAACTATAGATAGCATAACAAATTTACATTTGTTAAATGCAACTGTGCAACAGATTTTTTTTTTTTTTTAATTTGTAACTAGTAGATCATGTTAACCGTGCAATAATATTAAAAGAATGAAGCTCCTTGTCTAACACATTGAATCGTGTAGAATACAGCGAAAAAGAAACGATGGACAAAAAACATTTATAACGTTACAAATCAAATGTTTTAAGTGATACAACTGTTCAACAAAGAAATAATTTATCTATAACTAGTACAATGTAGTTCACGTAAACAGTACGAGAATATACCCCAGCTGCCAGTCCCAGACAGGGTAAAAACTACTAGTCAGTCTGTACGTGTACATGTACCTAAAGTGCCAACTCACGATGTTGTATTCCTCTAGGTGCGCGAGTCTGTTCATCTATTATTTGTTCAAGGTTAACTCCTTTATTATGATTCTTTTCAATAAACCTATTGAACATTGATCGCATTCGATCATATCCAAAGAACAGATAATACAATGGAGAGAAAGATACCATTGTCAATTGACTAACCTCTCTCGTTATCAAATACCAGTCTCGGGTATATTATTAACTGATATAATCATACCGTCGCATAGTTCTCATGTCACTTCAGAGCAAACAAACGAGAGGAACCTGAGGTTCATTTTTTTCATAGACCTGTTTATTAGCAACCATAAGGTTGGACTTTTCATATTCAACTTCTTTCAAAATCGAAATTATCATATGTGTTGACCTTCAAACCTATAATTATAAACCAGACATTTTACAAACCAAAGAGATTGTATTGTTATTTTACCATTTTTTATTTATATAATTGCTTTACTTTCAAATCATACACATGTGAATTGAAGCTTCATATCAAAACGTACGTGATATCTTCAACTTGTACCAATGATATCACAGTATTGCTTAAATAGAGTTTTCTCATTTAGCAAAATTTATCCGCCAATGTTGAAGGACATCGTTTGGTTGTTAACTAGTCTCTTTATTAACCCCCGAATTATTTTGCAACATTCTGTTACTATGAATATCACTGAATCTGACCCATTATCAGAAATACTGTCTGGTAAACTAAATGGATGGCTTATCCAGGTACACGACAACCATCCATATACCAAATATAAATCATGGCTCAAATAGTTGATTAATAAGATTTCTTTACCTAAAACCAAAAAATGTTAATACACATATCTTCCTGTCAATAAAAATTGAGAATAAATTGCAAGTTTGTAATGTTATCAACGGTTTTAAAGGCACATATCCTTTTTCTGCCGTGTTTTAGATATGTTTCGGAACACTTAAGACTCAAAGCACATTTTTAATATTTATAATGAGAATTGTGTAAACATCAAGTTTCAATACAAAACAAACATAATTTGTTTTCTTAATTTAATCTGATGGCAGAATTATATTAGTATTCCGATGCATAATGCATACTAAGTCTTTATTATTAATATGTTTTTGTCCTCTTGTTAAACGCGATTAATGCAAGCGCTGTACACGACATTTGATCCGATCAATTCAGTTACTAGTATATTGATGATGGGTTCTTGCATCACTCTACCTCATTTCTTCTTTAAACTAGGACTTTTACATATCATGGTATCGTCTAATTGAATCTCCCATCTTGAATATAACCTACCGCTAAAAACAGTGGTCTCTTCACAACCAAATGCTATGACAATGTCGATTTTTAGAACTGTTAACTTTCGTTTCTGCAAAAGTTACATACCAGTATCCTAACCTTGTAAGTTATATGAATTAGAAACGTCCCCCGTGTCCCTGATCGTTGATGACCTACTTTGTTTTAGATGTGACCGGACACATCGGGATGACTGCCATATGTGGGTCCGGAATTGATTCCATTCGATTGTTAAGGGATGTTGATAACTTGTCCACTTCTTATGATGTTTCCTTGATTCTTGTTTGTTTTGTACTGTCCTCGTGTGTTACACCTGAGGTTTGATTTGGTTTTTGTTCGGTTTACCATCTTTATAATAGTTTAAGTCATTCAAGGCCGTATTTCAATGTGTGAAATGTATGTATAGATACTAGATGCAGTATGCTGGTGTATTTGCCTCCTTGCGACATCGCAGGTCTCATCTATTGGTACTTTATATTAACTTGAAGTTTAAAAAAAATGTTATTATTAGTTTAACATTGTTATATGGTATTCTTTTGATTTCATTAACACTTAACAATTCTTTTTGTTCTATAGATGATCTTAACATACAGCGGAAACCATTTGTCACGAACGTCACGGAAACGGCAATACCACAAACCATGAAGATGTAATTAAACAATCAACATTCTCTTACTCGTTGAACCTGGGACGACACTAAAAAGATGAAAGCACGACAGAAAAGTAAACTCTCACTTCATTGAAACTAACAGTAGACAAGCAACAAAGGTTTTAATGAAAGAAACGACCTCCTCTTATTCACTGTAACTGGAACATTGATTCTAAAGCTTTTCAATGTGAAAATAGTTCAGAATGTTCATTTCTCTTTGTTCTCTATCTATCCAAGATGCAAAATGGACTTATTAGCATCAGTTCCTAAATGCTATGGGATATGGTGTCCTGTTACAGAGTGGGAGTGTTGGATTTGTTTTCCGTTTTTATATAACACTAGCATCTGCAAATACAACACGCATACTTCTGATATTTAACAAAAACGACAGATCAGCATCAACCAGTCTTTACCACCATTATGATTGTAGCATTACAATTGTATACAGTATATGTGATTATTTCCACGCTGCAATAAGTTTGCCTGTAGATTAACAATTACTACAATGTTCCTATATATATATATATATATATATTTGTTTTCTAAAGTAACTATGTCAAAGAAAATATTTACCTTCTTAACATCTTATTGACTTAAAATCAAAATTGTGTTTTTTACATGATTTCATCACGGATATTTACATGTTGTATCAAATAGACTTAGCATATCATAGTTGTTTTCACACGTGATGAGCTGCTGTCAAACATTTTGTATATAATTCACGTATATAGAAACGCATTTATTGTTCAACGAAATCCAACACGGAAATGATTTACCTTACATGTCTGAGTATGTGCAACAATATTTATATTTATAGTACCATATTAATATTTTCCTGTTATGTGCCAAACTTAATTTATTACATGAACAAATGTAGATCTTACTTATATGAATTAATGCTGTTTTGATACCCCTTACAAGGACGTCACACAAGATTCTTGTCTTGTTTATATTATCTGACTTTTTTTTAACCTTAAACAATGGGTATCCAATGTTTATAATGGCAGAAATAAATTTGGACTACCGAAATGTCTTCAATGAACACAGAAGAAAACCATCATTATTTTACAAAATACAACTTGGCGAACATGATGAAAAATAATATTTTGATATAATTTCAGGTTGTGAATAAATATTTGAATATTATAAGCATAACTTAATTCGTCTTTGTTTCTTATATCAATTTTTGTAATATTGTAATATATGAAATTATACAAATAAAGGAATAATGTAAATTGTTAATAACTTCATAGTGTGATCACTTTTGTTAAAAAGGTGTGTTTCACTTAATCATCCGCAAACATTCTATTAATTTTGCTACTTCAGAAGAATAATAAAAGGTCTCTACAATTTTCAAGTTTGTTTTTTATCAATGCAAAATAAATAAATGTGTAATACAAACAGAGACACAAAAGCCGGGAATAAAACGGTCTCTAATGAAGTTTGCAAATCAAAAGTAAGGAGCCGGATTCGTTTGTGTAAAATAAAATGTTGTACTTCGTCCAAGATTTCGTGATTGGACATGATAAAAGCGAAATAAAGGAAATAGTAACAGTCAAAGAGTCTAATTTCATATTTCTTCAACATTCAATGTTTGGTAAAATAAAATACTCAAAAATATATAATTGTAGTTAATCAATTTATTTTACTTTTGTTTAAAACTTCAAACTCTTTTTAGAAAATCCCTTAACCACTTCGAATTGATAAAAAAAATGACCGATAGAAAGATCTCATTTTAAATTTTAAATTTGAAGTTAACCACTCACAAAGGTCATTCACAAATGTTTCGTTTATCAATACTAATAGATTATTTCTCCTCCCTACTGAAACTGTATTTTCATTTCTGCTTTTGTTGGCATTCACTGGCTTCTGCCAGTCTTTGCACCAATCATACATCCTAACAACATCGCTCTGCATTTATGTACAACCTCAAAAAACCTATAAGTGTGTGGTTTAAACTGCCGTTTCCAGCCAATAGTACTAAGTAATAGTTTGTTAAAGCGATTGCAGATTGCTTATAGAAATTAAAAAATAATTTTGGACAAAAGCTGAGCCTTGTTGAATCCCGGAAGTAACATCAATCCAACCGGAAATTGCACAATTCATTGTAACACATTGCCGTCTACTATGAATACTTCGCGAACCAATTAGAATACGGAAAAATTGTAATCAACTAGCTTATCAAACAGTTTATAGAATATGCGTATTGCAGAAACGATGATATTATTTCAGAAATCTATTTTACAGCCATATTTTAAGTAAGAACATCATTGGCCTCCTTGAATGTTTTTTATAAAATATGTAATATTTGGGAGAAAGAATATAGAGATCACAAATTGGAATACTAAATTTATCTGCATGCATTTTATAAATCCCACGGCACTAAAGAAATCAAACCGGTGCAGACATACATAGTAGTTTGTAAAATTTTCAAACTTCACTGAATGTGAATTCGGAGAAATGTCTGATATTATGCACAATATCACTTTCAGCATTTTTTAACACATCGCAAAGAATGGTCTGTCATTAAATTATAAAATGAATAAATTAATCTTTGTCAAAAAGGGGCATGACAGTTTACACTTAAAAAGGTAAATATTTGATAAAAAATAACAACACAAACCATTTCGTTGAAAAAAGGTGATTTGTAATCAAATAAAAGAAATAACAATACCAGATATAGACTGGCAATACTGTCAGGGTGAACATTGATTTTGTCCAATCACATTTATACTCGGATCTATCTATCAAGGTCGGAAGGTAAATAATCCAGTGGCATTATAGAAACAAATTCCTTTTTTGTGGTCGAATAATAAAAAGGCCAACAAGCGGTAACTATAGACCAGTGCACAGTGTACACAAAGTTGCAGACATTTGCGTCTTTGTCATTGTGCAATATAATTATAGAGGACTACATCCAAGCATGCGGACAAATTTCAAATGTATTGCTTTCAATAATGTTTGATTTTTTTTCTATTTCTATTGTATGTTTGGTATAATGTTAGGTACATAGCAGAGTCCAAGGTCGCAAGATTAATCAAAGTAGGCTGGTTCTATTTAAACTTTTGTATTCCGAAAAAATATCTTCTATTCGGTACTAAACTGAAATTTTAACATGTACATAACTGGATTCAAGTTATCACTTCCAACTTATAACTAAAGAAATGGTCTGTGCAAAATTTGAATTCATATTCGTACCATTAGAATAGTGAAGTTTGAAACATACGAATTTAGCTTGGTACAAGACGAACCAAATTATCACGTGCAAAATTAACTAAAAACCTGACATGTGACCTCCTGCAAACAAACACGTGTTTTGACTATGTATGTCCTCATCCACTCGAACACGTTTTTGTTTGTTTTTAAAACAACACTGAAAATTGGAGAGTATAATCTCGGTAATATGTTTACGTGTATTAGGACACAATGTCGAGCACATGCTATACCGTATATATTACATTGATATATCGAATACCACAGCTTGGTTTCACACTCACCGGGGGCATATCGTTTAAAATGCGGATTATTGTTAAATCGATATTGGGTTATTTTTTGGTAGGGTGATAGGTTGTAAGTACGTATGTGAGCACTTTAATCCTGAAAGCTGAATGGTTTTAGTAATTTCATTACCAATATCGATTTCAATAGCATGGGTCTTTGCATAATAGATATTCTCAGACGTTTGATAAAACCTTTTATTTACTCTACGTGTCAATATAATACCACATAGACGAGTAACATATGAACCCGTTAACACTGCCCGTCATGTTGATCTAACCAGAAAAGGCAGGTATGCTGTGAGGTACCCACCGGTGATAGCTAAACAATGTGGGTTTTAAACGTCCCCTAATAATGGAATTGAATTAAACTAAACTTTTCAGAATAACATCAAATGTGGCCATTGATGATTAACATTACAGAATTGCCACGTGATTAAATGTTCATGTCTTGTCAAAGACAAAATCTTTTGCGAAATCAAATACTGGTTTGTGGAGTTACAAAACTGTAGTTAATTGGAAACATAATAGTTAACTGCTAGATATAACGCATATCTTACTTGTGTGGAAGAATACTCCCCTACTAAGGATAATACCTAGAAATGAGAAGTTTCGAAGCTTATTCTAAATTCAACACCTTTGGGTATAGCGGGAAAAGCTTTGCAGTATAAAATACATCAGATTTTGTATGTTTTTATTCACAATATTTATGCAACAGACAACGGTAAAAAACAAAATGTATTTTTTAAAAGAAAGTGCCCTTTTATTAAACAAACGTTCAGACGTAAAAATAAATATGCAAATCAATATGACAATTTTTTAAATCTTTTCTTTATTATGAGTGTGAAAGTCTATTGTGCATTAATTACATTACTACTTAATATAATATAACGTTTGTGACATCAACCTTACGATATATAACTTGGGGATCAGAGAGGCTGCAACCTTTTGAAGGTAGACACCACTTTATGTTCCAGTTGTGGTAGAGAAATTGATTAAAGTAAACTTCCGGGAACCCTTGTTGTGAGTTCTTCTCTTCTTTTGTTGAGGTTCATAAAACATTTTGATATTTTGCAAGTATCGTAAGAGACATTATGTTCTTTCTGAGTTTTAGAAAGTATATTGCTTTTTTCACACCCAGTTGCTAATATTAACAATTCAAACCTGCTAAATCCCGTGCGTCATAGCTACGTGAGTGAGGTCACAAATCTTTTGTAAAATACTAGATAAACACTAGATTAACCTATGTTTTTGTATAATTATAGGGCAAAAGTTTTAATTGGTGGTGGGTACATTATATTTTACTATGTACGTTGATATGTTGGAGGATAATACATATATCCTGTTCCTTTACGAGATAAAATGTCACAGCGATGTGGCGAATCAACAATAGCTTTTGTTACGAAAACCCTTTTACGTATACCCCTTGCAGTGATAGAAGACGTCATTATCGTGAATTGAGGACGCTTACAGAGTTAAACTATTTGTATGTGAAATTCAGCAATACCAATGACCATGTTTACCGAAACCTGACGTCTAAACTTGTCCAATAAACGTTTTTTTTTTATCTTCTCAAAACAATCTTACATCAATACGGAATATGTCTACTGCTTACGGCTAACAGGTGACGTGTAGTAAATAAACCGTTCAATATGTGTAATAAACTACGCTTGAGATGACGGCATTGGTTATCAATCGCTCATTATGCGTAAATTATTAGATTTAATAGAAAGTGTTTTAAAGGTGTCAAGTTGTTGATGTATGTTAGTGAAAAACGCTATATATGTGAAATTATGCGAGAAAGATTATTAATGCGATAATATCTAAGGTCCTCTTTCCAGTTGGTCTTTTCATATGTCGGTCTAGAACCACTATATTCAAATGACACTCCTATACGTACTATATCCTTAGATAAACAAAGTTGATTTAATAAACAACATTATGAAGCATCATTTAATATTCC